TAATTTATTTATTTATAATTGTCCAAAATTGGAAAAACGGAAAAAACAAAAACAAAAAAAATCACAGCAACAAAAACAAAAACGTCCAAAAATTTGTATTTGATTTCACTTAAGTGTTGCATGTTGAATGTTTTCAAGCAAAACAAACACAAAAAAACGCTAATAACTGTATACTTAGTACATAAACACTTACACATATGTGTGCACACATATTTTTGTGCGTAAACGCATATTAAATTCCTAAGTTTTAATTAGCATTTAAGTTTTAGCTCTTTAAGTGCAACTGTAAGCGCTGGAATGTTTGGCCTTTCGCCGCCAAACTGTCTTTAGCATATCGAACAATAGTGGAACCAGTGAAATTATGTAAGCCTAGCGTAAATATTAGCAAATAGGTTCGTTTGTAAATTTGTATTTCTAAGTTACGTCTACATATATGCACAGCCATTTAATGTACTACCTTCCGCACTTTTTATTATATTGCCCTGTAGGTGTTTTTATTGTCTTTTAAAAGCCCTTAATGTTAGCATGCGTTGTGCTCGTTTTGTTTGTAAAAAATTAAACGCTTCTTATTTGATGTAATCAATATGTTTTGTAATTCAAAAAAAAAATTTTTATAATATCTATAACGTATATGCTTAGCAGCGCGCATTTGTTCTCCTTTATTTTGTTAAAAATTTATGTTTTCTCTATTCAAACTGTTTGTAATTACTATTTAATTTTTTTCTACGCCCGTTGAAAGCATGAAAATGCAAATAAATTACAAATAAAAACAAATACAAATATTATGTATGGAAAAATTTATTTGGCTTTTTATTTCAAAATATTATTTTTTGTATAAGATTTTATGTTGTAAAACATAGCACGGAACTTACAAACGACACTTATTATGAAATTCTTTAGATAAACTGCAAAAAAAAATTATTTTTTATTCTTTGGATAATCGGAAAAAAAGAAAATATTTTTTGGTTCGGATGTGTTATCCTTAATTCGCCTGACGTCCACACCAAATACGACTAATTCAAACCAATTTACCTTTATTTTAATATTTAGAAAAAAATATAAGCTTTCCTTCTTATAAAAAACATACTTTCTTCTAAATCACAATGCTCACTCTTACACCGCCTTGGTTATTCCATAGGCTTCAAACATTTTGTTAGGACATGTTTTCAGAATTGTTTTTAAAACCAAAATAGTTCATTAGACAATTGTTAAAAAATGGTAATCATTTATTTTTCTGTGCTTTTCATATAGCTTCTTCAAGTCGAGAGAGATAAAAGTGCAATTTTAGAAGAGATTTTATTCTAATTAAAAGAAAGCTACTCAACAGGGTGTCGCTAAACCAATCCAAATAATAAATGCACGTATTTTTTGGTTCGAAATGGTCAGATGGAAGGGACACATTTTCCATCTTGGTTGGGTATGAGGTCGATCTAAAACCTCTGCCGTGCGACTCAACACTGGATTGAATTTGGATTAAACCACAGCCACCACGAATCTCCCCAAAGGGCCAAGCCCAATTAGCAGATTGGAACGAACTCCAAGGGCTAACTACGCCCCGTGGTACCAGCCTTAAGTCTCCGACCAAACCTTGTAGTTTTTGCTACTACCAGTTAAGAACCTCACAAACTTAATGACTGATGACATTTTTCGCTTGCACTTCAAAAGTCTTTTCATTACAAGAAAAAGCATTCAAAGTCTATAATATCATTTCAGGTATTATAGCGCGTATTATAGCACTATTTCTGACAAAGACTATGCTGCAATTTGTAGGCAAGTCAAAAATACAGACATAGTGCATATGGACTTGGATTTTAGTCGCATCTTACGACAGGCATACCTTATCGCGGGAAAACTACCCTGCCTGCTGGGGGAATTGGGAAGTAAAGTCCTCTCTCAAAGAATAAAAACCAAATTAAAAGTCCCGTTACGAGTTTTCGAGAGAAACATAACCTTACAAGCGTTGTCTACGCCAATGAAGAAGAACAAGAGAAAATTGGCAAGCATTAAGAATTATTCAAATTTCTTAATTTTAACCACAATTACAAATTAAGAAAAGGTTAGTTAGAGTTTTAGTCCCTTTATGAAGCATGAAACACGTTTGACTCTTTGGTTGCATGGACCATGGCAGGACCAAATTTTTATGTCGTTGCTTTTTGATTGTTTTTAGTAAAAATGTACTTACTTTGTTTTCTGCTTACAGTGTTGTAAGAACTATGTAGTTATTGTGTCTCTAACATTATTTACTATTAATGCCTATTTGCTTTATGTTAGGTATTTTAAGAAGCAAGACTATGGAGCGTTCTCAGGCTATCTATAATCATCGTCGCTTAAATTTTCTTTCAATTTTCGAAGGCCTTCATGGGGTATAATATTGCTACGTACTCATAGAAAAAGAAACGCAATGCTGTGCTTGAAAACTGAAAATCGTAAAGATGGTTTCTAGCTTAGATCTGATAGAGAAGATCAAGAACAAAGCTAATGATCTGTGGCTGTATAAGTGTGTCTAGT